ACTCAAGGGGGATCAAAGAGGCTGTGGAGGAAACATAATGATCTTTATATAGGGCTCATTCCCCGGATTTAGGGTTTTCTTCGCCCAGCACCTACTCGCCGAGTCCATCTTTGGACTCGCCGAGTAGGTCGCTTGACACACGACCAAAGTCGCGACTCTACTCGCCGAGTCCATCTTTGGACTCGCCGAGTAGGTCGCTTGACACACGACCAAAGTCGCGACTCTACTCGCCGAGTCCATCCATGGACTCGCCGAGTCTCCCTTCAAGATTTACACTTCTAGCCCTTCAACTCTACTCTTGCTATTCCGGGATGTTACAATATTGAGCTAGCTGGAGCTCTTAGACAAATAAAAGATAAGTTTGAAGTCTAATTAAAGGACTAAACTTCAAAATTGGTCCCTGTGGTATTCAAAAAACTTTTGATATGGTCCAAAATGTTTTTCAATTGAACAGACGATCCAAAATCAAGGTTTTTCTGTGTTTTTGGTCCAAAAAAAGTTTAAATGACGGTTATACCCTTTTACTTTGTTTTTCATATTTTTTAAAAATTTTCAAATATTATTTTCATTTAAAAAGAAAAATAAAATAAAATAATTATCCCCCAACCCAATCCCCCCCCCCCCCCGGCTCTCTCTCTCTCTCTCTCTCTCTCTCTCTCTAACAGAAGACGAGAAATCATATGGGATTGAAGATTTTACCCACCATCGTTCTAATACTATTGTAAATCTTCCTCCATGGATACTCTTAATTAGAAACCAACGATGCTAAAGTTATGTTATCACTCAAGAAAGCCCGCATCCCTCTTTTACAAGCTCCGTCTTTCTCTCCTTTCCAGTCCATTGGAAAATTGTTGACAATCAACCAGAAAAATCATCACCATGCTTGTTGCATGCAACCGAAAGTCATCCTATGTTCGTTGGCTTCAAATCTGTTCAGATCTGTGGCATGATTTTCTGTCGCTTCTCTTTCTTCGTCAGATCCTACTAGGGTTTGTCCTTTCTTTTCTGGCATCGCTGCTATGACAACGGGTTCGGCTTGTTGAAGTAGCCACACAACGGTTTCTCCTTCAGACTTGTGTCTTAGTTCCCGAGTAAGTTGAAAAACACACGACCTCAGATATTGAAGACGAAACAAATTGGAGATGGACCTTGTGCTTGCAGGTCTTCATCACAGATCTTGTGCTCCAGTTTCCAAAGTGACATTCGTGGTAGATCTTGACACAGATGAGGTTTATGCTAAAATATGTCTTCTCCCCTTCAGAACCCTTAACGATATAATAGGATTTTAGGGTTTGATAAAAAATATCAAAATCAAGAAAACTCAATCAGATGCTAACAATGATGGTGGATTATTAGTCCCGAGGTATTGTGCATAAAAAATTTTCCCTAGGCTCGATTACACTGCAAATTCTCCTGTTCAAAACATCTTAGCCAATGTTATTTATTGGCAAATTTGGAAATTCATACATATTTACAAAGGGATTCGAAGGGATTTGATTGTGTTTCTTAAATCTGATAATGGTGATGAGTGATTCATAAAGAAGATGATGAATAATGGGGCCCTATTTCTTTCTCTGATGAATCATGTAACGAGAGAGAGAGAGAGAGAGAGAGAGAGAGAGAGAGAGAGAGAAAGAGAGAGAGAGAGAGAGGGATATTGGGGGATAACAATAATAATTAATTTTTTAAATTAAAATAGTATGTTAAAAACTAAAAAAAAAAAAAAAAAATTGGACCAAAAATACAAAAAAACCTTGATTTTGAACCTTCTATGCAAGTGGAAAAGTTTTTGGATCATATCCAAAGTTTTTTGAATACCACAGGGACCAATTTCACAGTTTTGTCCTAATTAAAGCTTTTAGGTTTTACTATTTTGGTGTGACATAAATGCCCCCAATCATATTTGTGCAAAAAAATCTAATGCCTTTACATTTACATTACAATCATACATGTTAGGTGTTTTTATTAATGTAATGGACTAATTATAGTTTTCATTGCATGTTATTTTTTTTTTTTCCTTTCTAGGTTTTGTCAAAGAAAATTGAAAACTCATATTTGGAGCGCAAATTTACTCATTAATGTTATTGATTAATTTTACTTTCATTGTAAGTTGTAACTATGTCAATTATTGTTTTGTTGAAATAATTGTAAAGGTTCTTATTTACTTCAATGTAAAAAATTATATTTTTGCATTTATTAATACATAATCTTGAAACTAACACATGATTTCTTTTACAAGTTTAACTAAAAACTTAAGGCTAGATTGAGTTTGAGCTTCTAGTTATTCTTTGAAGCTGAGCTTGAGCTTGGTAGCGTATCAAATTGATTGAATTGATTACACACTTAGGCCAACAATTATGATCTTTCCATTATTCATGTAAAAAAACCCGGTTGCTGAAAATAGGTCCTATATATGAGACTTGACCCACTTATATGGGTCATACTTATACAACTCGGTTGTAAGTAAAAAACAAGGACATATTATTATATAACTAAAAGTCCTAGTTTTATTATTGACACCGGGGTATTTAAGCATAGCATATAGCCCAGTTTTTTTATTATAAGCCCGATCTTATAAAACTCCCCAACTGAAACATTGTTATACAAACAATCAGGTCCAAGTGGTGAAACATGGAAATGTAATCTCACTGTTGACGGATCATTCACAGTAAATGTTCTCCGGAAAAAACTAGATTTCAACCCCACACTAAACCTGGATCAGTTTACATGGCTGAGGGAGATCCCAATTAAAATTAATTGTTTCATTTGGAGGGCTAAAATGGGAAAAATACCTTCAACCTTGGGCCTTTTATCCAGAGGGGTAGATGTGGAAAATGTTTTATGCAGTCACTGTGAAGAAGTAGTGGAATGCGCAGACCATGCATTGGTGGAGTGTAAATACGCGGACACGGTTATATAACGGGTGCTAAAATGGTGCAGAGTTCCTCTCGTAGAACTCAAAACAGTACATGGGGTGATCACATAGGCTCAAGCATGGTCCAACTGCCCCAAAAAAAGAAGGTTGCTAATGGGAATTTGTTGGGAATTTGTTACGACATGCTCTGGAACATATGGAAAGTAAGGAACAACATAATTTTCAATAAAAACCGGCTTCTTGCTCTCATTTGTGTAGACATGATCAAATCCACTACATACCTATGGATAAAAAACAGGGGGAAAAACAGGAGTATTGATTGGTTAGCATGGTGTAGATCTCCGTTTCTTTGTGTGTAATCTGTAATCTTAACATTTGTACGCTGTTATTTCCCCCCCTCTAGTCACTTGCTAGAGGTTGGTCTTATTAATATATTTGTCGGTTCCAAAAAAAAAAATCCGATTTTACTTAATATAACCTGCTTAATTATTTAAGCAACCAGGTCCTATTTAGCGAGCTCTATGTGCGTTTTTGTAGTAGTTAACACATTTTCACCGGAAGCACCTCAATATCGTAGCAAAATAGACCATTTCTTTTAGTGTTAATAATTGTTTTGAAAATACACAAAAGCAGTTTCAAACAAACACTAGTAAATAAATGATTTGTTGGTACGGTTAAAATAGTTATTTAATGTGGTTACTGAACTGTACTAAAAAATATCGCATAAATAATATCCCCTCATTAATTTAATAGTGCGGTTATAAAACCGCCTCAAAAAATAGTCAAAACCGCACCAAAAAATAGTAGAGGAAAAATACAAAAGGCACCATAAAATGATGAAAACCGCCCCAAAAAACGCAAACAACACCAAAAAAAAACCATACCACCAGAAACCACCCTTAAACCACCATCATCTCTATCGTGTGTTTGTTGTCGAGAACACAAGATTCACCAAGCCACACCATTTTTATCGCCATTAACCACCATCTTGCATCTCTACATTGACCTCCTTTATAATCGAGCATAAACCACCACCTGTTGATACCATCGCCATCTGCCCTACCTTTGCTGGAAATCACCATTACAGCCACAAAGAACACCCAACATCCCCAGTTACCATCATTTTTTCCACCTTAAACAAACCAAACGTAAATCAGTAATAAAAAAAGTAAGAACAAAAATTAATTTATCTGCATACCTTCCATCTCCACCACTAACCACCATCAACACCGACAACAAATGTCATGCCTTTACTGAGAACCATCGAAGCACCACCATCTCCTACATATTTCCGATCAACCAATTTATTTCATCTTAAAGAAACCAAATGTTAATCAGAAAAAGAAAATAAGGAAAAAGAAAATAGATATGCTTCTTGTGTTGTGTGTAAAAAGGGGTAAAACACATGCAGGACACACATACTTTTAGAGAGAAATAAAAATATAGAAGAAAAACGAAATATAGGAGAGAAATGAAAAATTCAAAGGATCAACCAACTTGTAGCTTGCTTGAGCATGAAAACTTTGAACAAAATTTGAAGGGATTTCGTGAAGAATGAAAAATCCGAATGAAATTTTTAGAGGAAAGATTAATGGTGCGGTTGAATGTTTTTTAGTGCGAATTATTTTTTGGTACGGTTGAATGTTTTTTAGTACGAATTATTTTTTGGTGCAGTTCAATGTTGGTTAGTGCGAATTATTTTCTGAGACGATTTTCAAAATTATTTTTTAGTGCGATTTTGGTAAACCGCCTCAAAAATGTTTTAATGGTGCGATTTTTGGGAAACCTCACTAATAAAACTATTTTATGGTGCAGTTATCTTCTTTTTTGATGTTGTAGACAGGTTCTGAAATGACTACATCAAAAAAAATAAAACTCAGACTTGGTAGTAGTGAAATATAAATGTAGTAGTGAAATATAAACTGGTTAACAATATAATTAATATAACAAATGTACAACTGTTTGAAGTTTCGAAATGTATACTATTATAAGTTCACATGCATATATTAATTAGTATAATTTGAAAAGCACTGCTTGGTAACAAATTTTAAAGCAACTGAAATGAGAGAAGATACGTATAAAAATTAAAGAGCCATGCATGCAAATCATATATGAATATGATGAATCAACTTTGCAAAGGACTAGGCTCGACAGAAGCGTATAAGAGGAGGTCAGGGTCACACTCGAGTATGTCCATTTCTTCTTGGCCCAGCGTTACCCATGCTTCAACCCCATCACCATTGCTTGTATCCATCAATATTATAATATTGGCATAAAGAGGAATATTGTCGTTAAAATTCCCATAGCATGACCACACTGGCCTTCCCCATCCAAAATCTGCATCATATAACCCAGAATTACACATGCTACTAGACGAATAGTAATCTGCATCATAGCGTGACATTTGACCCCCTAAACGTTTCATCCCATCAACAATATAATCACTCCCTTGTTCTCCTTTAAACTTCTCAAGAAATATACTGTCAACTTTCGCTATACCACCTTTAACGTGCCCAATCATGGTCTCCAATCTTAAGCTATCTTTTAATTCACAACTAGCTACACCTGTCCAACAAATGTTCCCAATCGCATTTTCTGGTAAAGGTGGCGTCAATCTTCCTCGTATATTCATGGCAAATTGCAAAATGGATGGTCTTTCTCCGTGTAATCTCCTTGCAGCAGTTGTCGCACACTTCCAAATCAGTGACGTCACTGCTACAACACGAGTAGAGGCGACAGATGATGATGCAGCTGCTTTCTCCTTCAGTGCTTGTAGTGCCGAGGAATCAAACCGAAATCTCTTGGTGGAACACTTTCCACTCTTCAACATCAAAGGCCTTACAGCTAAGAATGATAGAGGGCAAGATGCATTTGAAGCCGCTTTAGTGTTGGGATGGAATAGAGATGAAGAGACAAAATTAGGGTAAAGCATGTTGTGGGGTTCTCCCTTTGCTGTAGACGCCCAAGCATTTAAGAACGTCGAGTATGTGCGACCATCAATAAGCTTATGCGAATTGTACATGGAAATAGCAACACCACCACAAGTAAAGAAGTTCACTTGTATCATAACGAGATATTGTCCTCGTGTTGGCTCCTTAGAATTTAGGGGGAGTAGCCCCTGGAGTAAACTGTAATCTGGTTTGGCGACAAAACTTGAGAGATCACCATCAACTTGTGTCTCGACATAATGCACACCTTCGTCGTTACATTCAATATGATTATCATCAATATACTTTCCTGCAAATGGGTAAAATCGAGTGAGTGTTTCCGACAATGAATCCCGTAAGAGTTTGGATCTTTCAACCACCAAGTTGTCGATGCTGATGTTGATGTTGGTGTTTCCATTAGCATTGTTTGGATAAAAGAAAATAAATGGAACGTAAGAGGGAATGTTGATTTGATCCAATGCAGAAAGCTTGTATAATCGGAGTTCATGGGGAGTTGGCTTAGCAGGCTTCACATGTTGTATAGAAATAACACGGATTCCACTTTTGCTCTTTTCTTGGACACTTTTAACAACATGCGTCTGCGAAAACTTGAAGCTGCATTATAAAACATGAAAAATAATTGTCTTAGAACCCTATTTGCAACCAGAAACCAAGTTCAATTAATTTTTAATCACAGAGAAAAGTGCACGTACTCTTGAGGTATTGTATTTGGAAGTTGAGTCGAAAAGAACCGAGGTTCATGGGAACATTGCTTGGTAGTAATGAGATATGCAGCAAGTAATCGTTCACGCACAAGAAGAGGCTGCTTGGATGCCTTTGAGGAGACCAACAAGCTACCGAATAGCCTTATCATTTTCACCTGAAAGCCTTTTCAACTAGACTGTATGTAAGATCATGTTGATGCTTTGTTTCTTATTTGAATCTCTATATATAGGTAAATGTATAGGAAGTAAGTTACTATAAAAAGGAAAAAAAAACAGAAAGTTTGTATCCCATCTTGAATGATTGCGTGTGTATAACTATATCAATTATTATGTGTGTAACTATATTAAGAAAGTTTGTGCCACATCTATGATTGCGTATGAATATATACAACTATATTAAGAAAGTCTTCTCACATCTTAGATGATTGTGTAGCATGCCTACAACTATATAATAAATGTGTGCATATAACTATATTTTGAATGATTGTGTATGTATAACAAAGAGTATATTACTAAAAAGTGAAAATCATATGATTATTGTAGCTCCTTGAAATCTTTAATGATTTACTTATCCCAACTAATTCCAAACAATTACCCAGTAAATTTTCTAATATAATCATATACTACCAGTATATTTTATATATATATATATATATATATATATATATATATATATATATATATATATATTAATATTATTGATTTGTTTTGTTTTATATTGGTTGGATTTTAGATGAAAACCACTTAAATCAAAGCATATGTTTTTAATCGATCAAAATTCAATACCACTCTTTTATAATATATCATATTAAAATGGTTTGGTTAGTAGATTATTTTCATCCATCACAATTATTGATTTCGTTTTTACAGTATATATTATTGTTTTTGTGGTAGATTATTTTCTCTTCATTAAATAATTCAAGATTAACAAAAAAAAAATCACCTCTGCCCCTTAGATTTGTAATGACGTTGCCAAGTAACCCTTTTATTTATTAAGTTTTTAATTGTTTTTATTATTTTTGAAGTGTCATCTATTCCTAAACTACTTTTTAAATCAACGCATGTTCATAATTGAACTTGAACCATCAAGCTTGAGGATAAAATATAACACCGGATTCTACTTCGCTGGAATTAATAAAGGATGTTATGGTGTTGGTTCCTATGGTTTGGATATATTCATACTTTTGGTCTAATTTGTGAAAAATATACAAGACGTATCCCCGTAGTTTGGAAAACTACACATATGGTCCCTGGTGAAAATAAAAATACAATTTTACACTTTTTAATTTCTTTTTCATTTTACCTATTTACAATACTTGTTTTTGGTCCCTTTGCTAGATGAGGGTACCATATTTTTAATATATATTTACCCTTTCAAAAAAAACCTAATAATTGAAAATTAATAAAGGATCATTCACCCCATCCCAACACTTTTCCTCACCCCCACCCATTCACCTCTTTCTTCTACCTCTCAATTGAAAACCATAATTGCATTCAATCTCATTTATATTTATGATATTTAATAATAAACAATTTATAGAGAAAACTTGAATAGTTAATGATGGGGGTTGGGTGGGTGGTAGTTAACTTGTCGCACCACCATTTCAATGTATCAATTGTCGAGAAGGAGGGGCATGAGGGAATATTGCTAATGATAGTGATGAAAACAAGAAAGTAGGTTTTAAAATGTGTGTATGGTGGTGGGGGATACAATCGACGATCCGATGGTGGATGCCTGTGGTAAGGCGGCTGAGTAGAGGAATACGATGCATATGTATTTACTACCTTTAACAGGTATTTAATAGGAAAAGTAACAGTTTTAGTCCCTGAACTTCTCATCTTGTTCCATAATCTACTCCTTCATATCATTTATTTATTTCGTACTTTGTGAGATTCCATCTTGTCTCCTTGAACTTCTATAAGTTCTCCATTTATTTAATTCTAATTATTTTAATTTACATTTTAGTATACTCATGTAGGCACATAGTCACAACAAGTTAATGATATTTTAATGGTAACATGATCATTTTAAATTACACGCAAGAAATAATTAAGCATAAAATGACAAAAAACAAAAAAACAAAAAAAAAAAAAAGATCAAAGGGACTAGTTTATTAACATGTCTGAGTTAATTAGAAATTAGTGTCATCTTTGACTGCTACATTTATTTTTTCCATATCTCGAGTTTGATGCATGAATTCTAAGATTGTTTGATTAGAATTGTTGAGAATTTCTTCATATGTTCTATATATTTATACATTCATGTCTCAGTAGGTTTTCCTACCATCTCCAAGCATCGAGGACTATGCTTAATCTTAAATTTGGTGAGGAGTCTTTTTATGTTAGTTTCTACTTTCCTTATGGATATCATTCAAAACATTTCAAAAATCCAAAAAGATTTTTCTTTTCTTATTTTCATTTTTAAGTTCATTCATTTCAAAGCATCTAAAAAAATCACAAAAAAAATTTTAATTTTTTTTTCTCAATTTCTTTGCATTCCGCATTGTTAATCACCAAACCAATTACAAAAATATTTTATTTTCAACTTATTCTTAGTTTGTATTCCATCCAAAAACTTATAAAAATTAAAAAAAGATTTTATGTTTTTAGCATTTTTATCTTTCTGCAATGTAAAAAAAAAAAAAATCAATCCAAGACAACCTAACCTTTTCAAAAAACAGTTGAGTTGATATGTGAGTCGTATGCCTTGAGATTAGACATGCTCGTTTTTTTCAATAAATATTAAAAAAACAATCTAATCACACATGAACACGTTTTCTAAAGCTACTCGTGCAAAACAAAAAATGAAGGTGTTGTCAACATTGAAGCATAATAACATGTATACATTAGCCCTTGCAACGCACAACCGGTCTTATGATTCGTTATTGTTCAATCGAACCTAAACTCCAAATTCAATAAATAAATAAAAGAATAAAAAATTCCAGTGATCCGAACCTTCCAACGCTCTAAAAACTCATTTCTACCTATTACCTTTTAAGTACCTTGCTTGAGGACATAGTTTCTAACTATACTTACGGGTTCTTACATGTTTACATCAGTCACCTGAAAAATACCTTAGAAGTCTCTAACGGTAATAGATTGTGAGATGTCCTAACAATAGATAAAGTTAAGGACGAAAATATAAAGAATTGAGCCAAAAAAATAAAACAAAAAAATGTTTTGATTAAGTAAATAAGTGGATAATTCCACAGTTTCGAGTCAATAAGTGGATAATTCTACAATTTTGAGTCAATAAGTGGATATTCTACAATTTTGAGTCAATAAGTGGACAATTCCACAATATCAATTCACTAAGTGGATAATTCCACAACAACTTGAGTTGCATAAATAAATACAATTAGTAAAACTTGGCTGCCAAAAGATCCCCTTGGACTTGGACTTGAACTTATAACATTGAGACTGATTGTTAACTACTTTGACTAGTGTAAGTGATATGAAACAAGTAACAAATCTGGGTAAATTTTAAGGAATTTTTAGTAAAGATTTTTTAGAAAAGGATTGTTGTTGATCAACAAATAGTTGAATTCGGTCATTGTCATGTTTTGCAAAATGAAGATGATTGAGCATATTTTTCATTACATATGTTTTCACGAGAGTAATAACATAATTTGTTCCATATGCTAACACAATACCGGTAAAAATGAACAAGTGTTGTAACTTGTAACAACCCGAAAATTTTAGATCAAACAAGGTCTAAATCTTATATGAGTATAAGTGAAACAACATTGCAAGCTTGATGCACTATATCATCTAAAAGCCTTGAGAGCATGTTTATAAGCTAATAACTAAGTTTAGATGGGAACCTATGCTGACTTATGTTAATGAAAGTCAACATAAGTCAAAAGGATAAACATAAAACCATAGAATATCACACTATATTGGAGTTTTTGGCCTAAGGAATCTAATTCCATATCAAAACTGAAAACACATGCTTTTGGAAAGCCAAAAACCGAAAACCCTTTTCTATTTGATTTAGGTCTGAAAACCTTTTTCTATTTGACCTAGAACCGAAATCACTTCCTTTTTGGAAGTATAAGACCTAAAACACTTAGTTTAAGGCCTAATAAGGCCGAAAACTGCCCCTATATATAAGTGTATGACCGTAAACTCAATTCATTTCTCACAAATGTCGTCTGAAGGTCGATCTTGTGGTTCAATTGAAAGTCAGTGAAAAGTGCATATTCACCCTTTCAGGAGATGTTATTGTGGTTTAGAAGCTCGATTTGTACAACAAGTAAATAAACACCCATATAAGGATGATCCATGAGATGTTTAGTGAGTTTGAACCATTAAATCGACCTTGTAAGAGCATTCATTTATTTGTTGTATAAATTAAGCTTCTAAACCAAAATAATATCTCCTGGAAGGGTGAATATGCCCTTTTTGTTGACTTATAAGTGAGTTTGAACCATTGAACTGACCTTCATTTATTTGTTATACAAATCGAGCTTCTAAACCAAAATAACATCTCGTGAATTAGTCAATTGGTTGACATTGCAACAAAATTGTAAATGTAATGACATACTTGAGAAAATAAAAAACTCAATGTCAAAATCAAAATTTTATGGTAATATAGTAACTTTCTTGCAATTTGAAGGTTGGTGTCAAAATCGAAATTTTAGTAAACTTAATGACTTTATTGCAATTCAGGAAAAATGGTTATGGGAGAACATAGAGAACCGGTCATTTTGTTGATATTGGTGTCAAAAAATTTTCATTTTTGATTTATCCCAAAATAATAGTCCACTTCTAAAAATAAATAACATTTTTATCAAAATACTCTTTCATTATTACTTAACCAACAAAATTTGTATGTTTATTTTGTTTGTAGACAATAATTTTGAGACATATGGAGTATAATGATTTTCTTGTAATTTTCTCTAGTAATAATTAATAATATTGGATTAGTCTATCTCAAAAAATTGATAAAAATTTAAAATTAGGGTTTGTGTAGTGTTTTAGGAAATTGTTTGGAATAGTATCCAAACCTTTGTAATTGGTAAAGACTGGTTATAAATGGAATAATTATCATTTACAGATGATTTTATCTCATGTTTATATAATGTAAGTGTCAATAGTAAATGGATATGAACTTGTTTGACCTATGAATGATAAATTACAACAATAGAATATAATCACAAGAATCAATCTAACAAATATTACGTAAAGACCTTATCTTTAAATACATGAAACCAAATCATATGATGAAGAAGAGTTCTGAGCATAAGGTATTAAATAGTTTCTACTCGGTTAAACCTTACACAGCAAGTGGTGCACGTAGATCAGAACAATTAGTTTTCCAAAATCCAATCTTGTCATTTTTTCTGTCATACATAACAAGAGTATTGCGAAAAATAATGCCTGCATGCATTGCAACAAACATACAATAATTAATTACACAACAATATTTTCATTGATAGCAACAAAAACCCATATAATATACTATTAAACTTAAATTACCTCCAAGCATAGTCATTGGATCATTTCCATTTTGAAAAATCCCTAAGCAATATGCACCATGCACCTTTGAGTGCTTCACAAATATCACACACCTCAGAATATTTAGCAAATAGACACCATTAATGTTTAATGAATTTAATTTTCTAAATATTGGAATAATTGCTTACTCTGAACAAGTAGTTCTCGGGGGTTAGTAACAGCTTTTCTCCCTTCCCAAACACCATTTCAACAGAAGGAAAGCTCTTCACGAGCTGTGAAACATCACTGGAATAACATTATAACACATTAAAAGTCAACTTTACTTCCTATTTATATACTTGAATGCGATGTATAATTACTGAAATTAATACCTTCCAGCACCAGAAAAGCAAATGTCATCATAACTTGGATCAGGACCTTTTATCTGTTTGACAGAATGGACTTCTTTCATGATCTGCATCCAAGATTTGAAACTTAATAACTCTATATATATATATATATATATAGGAATGAACTTAAGAAGACTTATATATAAGAATCTTACAGCTTTCTTAAATGCAAGAAAAGCTGCTTCAGGTAGGTAACCATATGTTGTTCCGCTGTCTATAACTGTTCCAAGACTTCCATTAAAAACAGTCTCACTCAAAGCCAACCGCTTTCCAGCGACATGCAACTCCTTCAGATCTATATTGTAAAATGGGCTGCAGCCATAAATGTGTTGATGCATCAAACGTAATATTAATTATTATGTTAAAAAATAATTAAAGAAGTGAAATTTATGGATATAATTAAAGCATACGTACCTACGTGCAGGGTTTGAGTAGGAATACACCATTCCTGAGGGGGGTGGAATGCCACCAAGAACCATGGAACCACCAACAATGTCCATTCCACCATAACACAAAGAGAAGGAATCACTGATTACACCTCGGTCAACAAGTTGGTCAACTAGACTCGGATAACGACGACCCAAACCTATAATTCCATCAGCATGTTGGCTGTAGAGATTACCAGTTTCCACATTTTCACAACCGAAAATGGCACGTTGAGGTGAAACTTCACTTTGGTTGCCAAAAGATATGATGTCTTCACCAAGAACACCACTGCTAGAACTGAATTCGGCATATACATTTTCATACACACATTGCTTTTTGTCTTTGTCACATGTGCAATTCTTGTTGCACTTCACAGATTTGTAAGTGCTGGATGACTTTGGATCAAACTTTGGATCCTGTTATGTTCAATGATTAACTTTCAGAACCTTAAGAAGAAATACATCATGTAAATATGCAAAAAGGAAAGACCTCATGATTGCCACATTCTTGACAAGTAGAACATGGAACATAAGTAACAGTGCTCCCTGTGTCCACAATAAGAGCAAACTTCTGAGGTGGAGATCCAATCCACAGCCACGTTGTGTAATACCTAATAAACATCAATTCAATTGATCAAATAGCTCCACTCCAAAAATGGTACAATCTGTTGCTTCTGAAATTCAAAGTGATTCAAAGAGAATTCATTACTTCTACTCAATGATCGTTAGTTTCCCCAAATAAGAACAACATTCAAATATATAAATTCCACACATCCTTATCGTATTCGTGTTGGCGCGTGAATAGATCGAGGAAATGAATTGATACCCGTCGATGATGAGATCATCATGGAGAGCCATCCGCGCGTTCCGGCGATGAGAATCAGATTTCTGGAGGTGAAGCTGAGTTTTTCCGTCGCCGGAGAACGAGGAGATCGGGGAGGAGCTAGGAGGAGAAGGAAAAAGAGGTAGAAACATGGTTTGGCGATTGATATCAGCATTCGGAGGATGGAGTATAGTAGTGCTTGGATCAAGGACGACGGCAGAAACAAACACAGACGACGATAGATTGTTAAACAGAACAAAAATCGACAGGATCACGACAGAGGTAGCAGACGAGGCTAGTTCCCGGGTGAATCGTGCCATAATTCGTTAATCTCTGAACGGTTGTTTCTGCGGATGGAGAAAAACGAAGAACTCGACCAGATATCTCTACTCTCTCGAGAATTGTAGAGCTAGAATGCGAGATGGATTTTCCGTTCCGGTGGAGTTATCAGTGACTGTGAGTAACGTTTTCCCGCTGAAAAGCTATTTTAATTCTCATTCGAAAGTGCCGGCGACGACGTTGATCGGATCTAGGCGTGACATGAATACGTGGATCGGATCGTTCTTAAACAGATAATGATGCACAATATTCCCTCACGTGCTTTCTCTATCTTCACCATCACTTTTTAGGTAGGGTTTGATTTTAAAAAATTAGAATTCAAATAACACGTTTATTCTTTGGGCTCCTCATCTTAGACTAATAATACTATAATACTACATTAGATTTGAAACTTTGGTTCCCATTTCACACATGGATGAGTTTTGAACTAATGATACCCTAAGATGCAGATGTGGATACGTATATCCACATGATGAACATATAGTTATTTGGATGAGTAATTTCAGATTTATGTTTTGTATTTGAATTAAAATGTGTACCTATAGCTAATAAACTATGTACACTCCATAACTTATTCTACACCATGTAAAAATAATTATTGCACAAATCTAGCAAATAAACTCTCAAATACATAGTTTCCCACTAGAGTGAATAGTTAGAAACACATCAAAAGTTTCCAATCGTGTTATTTGGGTTCATGTTGGACAAAGAGATGTCTTGAGATGCGTTGAGAGTCTAATTTTACCAAGAGATGTCTTGATGACAATATACTATCCAACTTTTATCATCTGATAACATTCTGATAGTGTCGATATAATGCTAAAAATATTACATCATTTTTTTTGTGGACTGACTTATAATGATGCATCAGAATTCACGATATAGGATTCAACTACACACTCTACAAAAAAGATCAATTTCATCAAACTCACTTGTCATGTTCACATCTTTCTCGCCTTTAGCAGTAACAATGAGTGATGTCTGAAATGTTCGTTATGTTTGCATGCCTGAGTTTTTTGTTTTTATACCAACATTGTTTTTTTTTTTCGATCTATATTTATCACTACCAAACATCTTTATGATTTTATGCTCTCGCCCTTAACACCAAACAACGAACTTTAAGGTTCATGTGGATTCTTTTAATGAATATCCTCTCTAGGGATCAAATCTCCCCCTTCAAACGTAATTTAGTAGTTACAAATAAAATACTAACTTTTCGCCAATGACAACATGACTACCATAGGGGCATGTTGATCCTGTTGGAAATCGGGCATTCACTCATTCTTTGAACACCGATCAAAATAGCAAATTTGTGTATATTACTTTCAAGAAAACTGATTACGTCTTACATAATACATTTACTAGTGATATCTATTTATAACAAACAAACAATATATAAAACACATTCTCATAAACATCCGACGTTTGTTCCTTCTAAGTAACAACAAACTCCACCCTTCACTTTCAACTCCAACAAATTCGATCAACTCCAGACCAAGTCATTAACATGCAGAATTTTGATGACCCATGCAAATGACCCGTACCCGACTTGACATGTATTCTATCCAAACCATCAAGATTAACCCAACATTCACCCCCTTAATCTTGATGATCTTGATCTTGATCTTGGTACTTTTCTTCTTGTTTCTTGCTACCTGCTTTCTTTTATTGGTACTTCCTTTTTCTTCTTCTAATCACCAAAAGTGACCAGACTTGTTGCTTGCTTTCATTCTTTTTCTTTCTTCTTTCTTCTTTCTTTATTCTTCTTTCTTTCTTTCTTCTTCTTTCTTCCCCTTTCTTTCTTCTTTTTCTTCTTTCTTTCTTTCTTTCTTTCTTCTTTCATCTTTCTAATTTGTTGTTGTGCAGCCTTTCTTCATGCTTTATACTTGTCACGAACTTGCTATTTGCTTTCTTGCTTGCTAACATGCAACAAACATGTTGTTGCTTCTTTCTTTCTTCTGATCACAAAGACCCAGCACAAAAAAAACACCCACGCATATACATGGAGAGAGATAGTCTTTCCTTTCTTCCTGCTCTCAATCTGATTGCATATGGTTGCAATTTGCATTATCATTATTGATATCATACACTTTGTGCAATGATACGATCAAAAATTGTACCTTTCTGTCACAAAATTGGTACTCGGTCTCTATTTCTCTCGGGCAAGTCTCGAATTTTTTTGCCACTCTGCGGTCTTCGGTCTAGATTTCAAGCAGTCGGTCCCTTCCTGCTTTGTCGATCTTCTGTCAGAGATAACGGTCTTCTTCCTGGCAGCAGTCACTGTCTTTTTCTATGTCGCAGGCGAGTTCTAGTCAGACTTCTCGCCAGTTCTTCTTTCCTCAAGTCGGTGTTCTTCTTTTCCGGCGACGGTCTTTGCTGCTTTAGCAGCCGGTCTTCACTTCTTCCTGCAACTCACATGAAATCGCCTCTCTCTTCTTCTAAACGAGCCCTAGGCTCTGATACCAAATGTTGGAAATCAGGCCCTCACTCATTCTTTGAACACCGATCAAAATAGCAAATTTGTGTATATTGCTTTCAAGAAAACTGATTGCATCCTACATAATACATTTACTAGTGCTATCTATTTATTACAAATAAAACAATATATAAAACACATTCTCATAAACATCCCACATATGTTCCTTCTAAGTAGCAACAAACTCCACCCTTCACTTTCAACTCCAACAAATTCGATCAACTCCAGATCAAGTCATTAACATGCAGAATATTGATGACCCATGCAAATGACTCGTACCCGATTTGACCCGTATTATATCCAAACCATCAAGATTAACCCAATAGATCCAACATGTCTCAATCCATCTATTACATTTTCTCATGTTTTTGCTTTGATAGAGGTTCAAGAATATTTATTTCCCAATAGAGATGAACTTCAATTTGTATCTTCTAAAAGCTAAACTCTTAATTATCAAACTTGTTGGTCTTAAACTTTATGTATTCATAGTTTTGATATCATTTCTTAGGCATTATATCAAGAAACACACACACACACAAATATAATATGTGAAGAACACATAACACACATGATTTAGAGAAAACATGATATGCCTATAAACGAGATATAGAGAGTTTATATAAAATTACAAGTGTTGCAGAAACCAGCCTTGACGATCGATTAATCGTTTGGTGACCTTGTACCGATTACGATCAGGATGTTTGGCGAAAATCGATCAAACTCGGGTTTGACGGTCATTGACGGTACTCAGCACACATAGGCGAAAAATATTTAAAACATCAAAAATTTTAATTTTCAAATATTACACCAAAATTTTAAAATTTTAAATTTTTAAGTTTTCAAATTTTAATATGATATACTAAAATTTTCAAAACTTCAAATTTTCAAAATTTTAAATTTTCAAATAGTTATTTTTTAGGATATATTAATTTTTTTAAATGATTTTATTAATAATTTATGGTCTCTAATTAATCCCCACCTAGTCCGTTTAAAATCCCAAAAATCCAAGGTAAAATTTTCATTTTTGTTATAGACAAAACACTAATGAAACTTATCCAAACATTGAAAAGCATTTTAACTAAAACCATTATCAGAGTTCATTCCCAAAAATCACATATTGCAAAAAACACGGGTGTATGCAATGCGATCGTCCCGACCTCTTCATTTGAAAACCGAAGTACCTGAAAGAAAACTAAAAAACGTAAGCACAAAGCTTAGTGAGTTCCCCAAAACATACCACACATGAAACCACATAAGTCCACATAAATCATGCATACAAATATATAAGGATGCCATGGTGTAACAACGTAATTTTTCAAAATAATTTTTCATTTCTTAAAAACATAATTTCTTCCAAATCAACCATAAGAATCCAATGTATCATAATCATAATACAAAACATGTCAAATCCCAAAATCAAATAAATCCAAATCTGCATGTGTGTGTACGAGTCATGCCGGCACCTTCCCTCGGTCCTTACTAGTACCTGAAACACATAACACAACAACTATAAGCATGAATGCTTAGTGAGTTCCCCAATATACCACTTACACACATACACCCTTCCGGGCCATGACCTTCCGGTCCATGTGTCTCAGGGGACTTCCGTCCCGACCCGGTAAACCTTCCGGTCTCACCCGTGTTGACCTTCCGGTCCATAACTCCCTGACCTTCCGGTCTACATCATAATGCCTTCCGACTCATAATATAATGCCTCTCGGCCCAAATCAAGCATAGCATACATATCGCATACAAACAGGCAACTCATAACATACAATGCATATATCTTATAGCATACCCGACCTTCCGGTCACACATAGGTACCCTTCCAGGTGCAATATAGTGAGAAGACTCACCTCGTATGATGTCTAAGTCTCACGTGCTTGATATCTCTGAATCTCGTAACCTCTACCTAGCCTCGCCTAATCACATCAAATAATCGTTCAAAATCATTAACCGCTCTCAAGGCTATACTATATTCCTTCTAAATTTCCACAGAAGGGTAAAAGACCATTTTACCCCTCCCTGACCAAAAAGTCCACATGTTGACTAAAACCCTAAAAGTCAACAAAAGTCAACAGCAAGCAGTACGCGGGGCGTACCAGCTCTTGTACGCGGGGCGTACTCTTGCCTTCCAGAAACAGGGTACGCAACCTCTTACGCGGCGCGTACTAGGATTACGCCTAGCGTAATGCCCAGTTTCTTTGTTCAGCATATTCAGGTCTTAAACGGTTAAGACCTGCATCCAAACTTCAGATCTGACCCCTTTAATATGTCTTAAACCATAAAGTTGGAACCTTTAAGCCTTTGCATGGCTGTAATGATCACTTTGTGCTCAAAACACCTTTCCTCTTTCCATAATGAGACTATAACTCATGCATGCCACAAGATCCACGTCTAAGACTCGATTTTTATGACTTCCCAACACATTTTACACTAGAAAAGGTCAGATCTACGCTTATGGAGACTTTTTGCACATAAAGTCTCCAACTTTGAACCAAAACCCTAACAAATGGTCCAAAAAGAAAAACTTATGAAGAACAAGGAAAGCTTTGAGCTTTTTACCTCAAGAAGGATCTCTAACCACTGTAGAACTCGGATCTATACTCGTTCTTCAACTTCTAGCTCCAATAATGGCTCCCTCTTCTCCTTCTTCACCTTGAAAAGACAACTTCAAGCTCAAAAACTCACACACAAGCTAAAGCATGAATCGCAGCTCTCCAAGGGTTCTCTCAAGGGTGTATGGTGGCTAGGGTAAGGGACTACATGTTCCTTTTATAGTGCAAGGCCACAATTTAGGGTTTTACATCTGGGCCGGTTACGCCCGGCGTAACCTTGTGTACGCCCAGCGT